TAAAAAAAAGAAAACAGAAGGAAATCACTTTCAAAGTTCTAATTTCTTCTTTATGCAATACTAATTTTTCATATATGAACTATCTATAATTCAATTAGAATTCCTCACTTTTTCTTCACTTAACAAACTAGAAATAAATGTAATTAATTCATTTTAGGAACTGTTTCAGAGGAAACAACAATTTTTTGGTTATTTCACAAGAATTATTCTATCTTTAATGAGCTATGGAGAACCACAGAATTGAATGGGCATGTAGACCCAGAGAGGCAACAAGACCTCAGTGTAATAGAGGTGAGCATAACTTTGTGAACATAAACTTTACCCTCAGTGTAATAGACATCATGAAATTTGATTACTTCACACAGATGTGCTTTACTGTTGATTGCAAATGTCTAAATTACAAAAGATTAAGTTGCAAAACAACATTTATGGCTCCCCTGCCATGTATATTGCAGTATTTTAGGTACCGGGGAGATTAGATATAAATAAAATGAGGTCTTGGCACCATAAGACACAGCCCTTGTAATGAAAGATTTAAGTGAAAGTTCAACATGATTCTATATAATGTTAAGCATAATAAGCATACTAAAGGTCAACAAAACTATTAAGTTAAACAGAATACTAAAGGGTGTATTAGTGTAACACGTGTAACACAACTCCTGAGCTATAGAACTATTTGCTCAGGAGTCAGGGGAGAAAAAATTCTCTTGCTGCCATGTCTTGAGATGTCCATGTTTCATTGTTGGGTATGCCTTGTCAAAATAAAGGAACGTTGGTGTCTTTCACAGAAATATTTTAGTAGCAAATGTGAGACAAGATTCCATCAAAATCCTAGAGGAGAACACAGGCAACACCCTTTTTGAACTTGGCCACAGTAACTTCTTGCAAGATACATCCATGAAGGCAAAAGAACAAAAGCAAAAATGAACTATTGGGACTTCATCAAGATAAGAAGCTTCTGCACAGCAAAGGATACAGTCAACAAAACTAAAAGACAACCTACAGAATGGGAGAAGATATTTGCAAATGACGCATCAGCTAAAGGGCTAGTTTCCAAGATCTATAAAGAACTTATTAAACTCAACAGCAAAGAAACAAAACTATCCAATCATGAAATGGGCAAAAGACATGAACAGAAATCTCACAGAGGAAGACATAGACATGGCCAACATGCACATGAGAAAATGCTCTGCATCACTTGCCATCAGGGAAATACAAATCAAAACCACAATGAGATACCACATCACACCAGTGAGAATGGGGAAAATTAACAAGACAGGAAACAACAAATGTTGGAGAGGATGTGGAGAAAGGCGAACCCTCTTGCACTGTTGGTGGGAATGTGAACTGGTGCAGCCACTCTGGAAAACTGTGTGGAGGTTCCTCAAAGAGTTCAAAATAGACCTGCCCTACGACCCAGCAATTGCACTGCTGGGGATTTACCCCAAAGATACAGATGCAATGAAACGCCGGGACACCTGCACCCCGATGTTTCTAGCAGCCATGTCCACAATAGCCAAACTGTGGAAGGAGCCTCAGTGTCCATCGAAAGATGAATGGATAAAGAAGATGTGGCTTATGTATACAATGGAATATTATTCAGCCATTAGAAACGACAAATACCCACCATTTGCTTCAGCGTGGATGGAACTGGAGGGTATTATGCTGAGTGAAATAAGTCAATTGGAGGACAAACATTATATGTTCTCATTCATTTGGGGAATATAAATAATAGTGTAAAGGAATATAAGGGAAGGGAGAAGAAATGTGTGGGAAATATCAGAAAGGGAGACAGAACATAAAGACTCCTAACTCTGGGAAACAAACTAGGGGTGGTGGAAGGGGAGGAGGGCAAGGGGTGGGGGTGAATGGGTGACGGGCACTGAGGGGGGCACTTGATGGGATGAGCACTGGGTGTTATTCTGTATGTTGGTAAATTGAACACCAATAAAAAATAAATTTATAAAAAAAGAGAAATATTTTAGTAGCTCATTTTGTTTTTTCACTTTCTTATTTCTCTCATTGACATGATGGCCTTTGATGTTTGGCTGGCTTATTTGAGGGAGGAGGTGTACACTAGGTTGGGGGCCTTAAGTTCAACTTTCAGTTTGGGGATTAAGAAGTCTAAAGCAGCTCTAAGAAGTATATTAGTTTGAAATGGATTCAAGGGCAAGTAATTGAAAACCTGCCTCAGAGTGAACTAGACACCTACGGGTTATTTTCTTCCCAGATAATCGGAATTCGGAGGTAGACATTTTCCTGCCTGTGTTCAGCAGCATGATGACATCAAGGCCAGTGTATCTGAAAGTACCTTACCTTTTCCCATGATTTTTTTTTTATTTTAGATTTTTAAAAATATTTATTCATTTGAAAGAGAGAGACAGAAGGAGCACAAGCGGTGGGGGAGGAGGGGGAGAGGAAGAAGCAGACTCCCTGCTGAGCTAGGAGTCCAATGTGGGGATGGATCCCAGGACCTGGAGATCATGACCTGAGCCCAAAGCAGATGCTTAACTATCTGAGTCACTCATTGCCCCACCCTTTCCCATGATTGCTATCATTGGGTCCAAGATGGATGTCCCAGTTCCAGATTTCACAACTATCTTTAAATAAGCAATGGGGGGAAGGAGGAAAAAAAGAATAGTACTAATCACACTTGCTTCCTTCATCAAAAAATGGGCAACTTCATTCTAGAAGGCTTCATCACAATTTTGTTATATCTCTGTTGGTAAAAGAATGTCATATGACCACTCCTAGATGCAAGAAAGGCTGGGAAAGCAAGTATATAGCTTTCCTAATCCCTGTGGTAGAGGTAGCAAGGTAGGAGTGGTTTGAGGTGTACTGGTTTTAAGCAGTGGGTGTTATTTGTCATGGAACAAAAGACTACTAGAGGTGGGAATATGTTTTACATTAATGGTCCCATTAAGTTATCACAATGATGCTGTAGATGGGTGTTTTTATTATCCCCGTTTTACAAAGATGAGGAAACTGAGATTAGCTAATTTGTACTAACTAGTCAGTTACTAGGATTCAAACTAGATAGTTGCAGGGTTCCACACTACTTGTTGAAATTCAAACTCTTTCTTTAAAAAAAATGCAGCATTTATGCTCTTATTGTGCTATTACCGCTGACTTAAAAATCAAGTCTTGTAGACTTTTATGTCAAGACTTAAAAACGTATTTTGAACAATGGTAACATGACTGGAATAAACATATCACTTTCTAAAGATAACAAAATGAAAGTGATGGTCCGTTGAATCTGCAAATTTTCTTTTTAAAAAATTCATCTTATTTTTCTTTTTAAAGATTTTATTTATTCATGAGAGACACAGGCACAGAGTCAGATTCCCTGAGGAGAGCCTGATGTGGGACTTGATCCCAGGACCCCGGGAGGCCCTGGGCTGAAGGTGGTGCTAAACCGCTGAGCCACTCGGGCTGCCCCAAGTCTTCTGTTTTTATTCTTGCCTCACTAGTTTTGGTTTCTCTTTTTATTCAGGGACCCATTTCCTGAGTATTACTAGGTATTTGACAAATAGAACTTAATGTACTTCAATAAAATTGTTACTCTAACATTTTCAGGGACTACTTAGTAGAGGTTATTTGTGCAATAATCATATACTAACAGAATTAAGTAGTCAAATGTCTAATAAATATAATTTTCAAATACAAATTTGTTCTTACTCTGCTTCAACTTCTGTGTGATTTTTTTAAAAAAGATTTTATTTATTTATTCATGAGAGACACACAGAGAGAGACAGAGACATAGGCAGAGGGAGAAGCAGGTTCCCCGCAGGGAGCCTGATGTGGGATTCCATCCCTAGACCTTAGTATCACAACCTAAGCCTAACTAAGGCAGATGCTCAACTGCTGAGCCACCCAGGCGTCCCCTGTGTGATTTTTCTAATGGTTCTGTCAAAATGACTTTCTTTCCGATCCTAAACCAGCTTATATGATTTGTAAAATGGCAAGGGTTAATTAAGAGATCAATCACATTGCTCCTTTTTATTTACTCTTTTGGGAGGAGCTGTGTCACTGTATCAGAGCTGTTAGTTAAACCATCAACATGACATTATTGCTCTGCAAACATTGAAAATTTCCTTCATCTTGACTAAGGTTTTTGCGGCTGGCTAAAAGTGAATGCAAGGAACATACATTCACAGTTATATATATATTTTAAAGTAGACCAGTAAATATGGACATTTTTGGTTTTAGAGTCAAAATTTTCATTGCTGGAGACCAGCAGGATACCATGACTAGGGTACACCATTATAGGCTTATCAGGATACCAGCCACTCCATTTTTACACTTTGATTTCAACCTGCCTCCTTTCCCACCAGTGTCAGCCCGGTGCTGGCTACAGAATATACCTACCCTCAGCTTCCCCACAGACACCCCATGGAGGACTGTGTCATTCGAAGTATACTGACATGCCCATTTCTCTCCCACTCCTCCCTTGCTATCTGTAACCTGAGAGGAAGGAGAGATTGGAGGTGAATACAGGCCTCTGGGCAACCAGTAGGATTTTATGCTTACTTTTGTGATGTGTGCATTTAGAATCATACCTTCTTTCTCTGGATCTTTCATTAGCAGCACAGGCATAAAACATTTGTGCACTGAGTAACATGGGCCCCATAGCATTTCAGGGTGTTTTCTTAGGGCCATTCTGAACATTGCCTTGACCCTAAATGTCTTCTTCCGCCTCTTTGACAAAACAATTAAACTATGTCCTATTTGCCCATGTCACTCCACAGTTGATAGAGCCCTATCACTAACATCATATTGTCTAATCTTTTTGAAGCTGTATATGCCTAGTAATTTTTTTTAAAGATTTATTGGTCCATTACTTTAACTGAGGTAAAGAAACCTTTTAAAATTTACGATAGTTTGTCAAGTAATATAAATTCTTTTGTTTACTTCAAAATGTAATACTCATCTCATTGTAAACAATGGACAGAATTTTTTTGTACACAGATATATGGAAAAAAGTGGACAAAAAGACCTCATGCCAGCATCAACAAATGCAACAAAACCTTTATTTTTTTCTTTTTACAATTTCTGAACTCCATAACAAAGAAAAAAAGGCTGAATTTTTCCCCCAAGTTTTTATTTAAATTTCAGTTAGTTATTATACAGTGTAATATTAGTTTCAGGTGTAGAATGAAAAAAGTTTGGTAGCTTTATGAAACAAAGACTTTGATCTGTAAATAAATCACTTTCTCATTTACACACATACTTGAGCACTTTTTTTATGGCTTTTGATGTGGCTTGCTGGCAGCATGGAGAGAAGAGAACACATGTACATGGAAACTTTATCAGTATCTGTTTTTTTCTTTTAAAATTTTAAAGGTAAAGATTGATTTCTAAAAGTAAGAAATAAAGTCCATAATTTGAGCATGACTTAAGTAAAAGTTTTTAATCTCTTTTTCAGTAGTTAAAAAGTTAGTTTGCTAGCAATTTATTTCATGGGAATGAATATATCAGATGTACATCATCTCCCGATGCATTCCCAACGCACAGACAGTAGGGGGCAGGCACACAGAAGTACAATGGACAGGCTGACTACTGGACAGGACTAAGACCTCAGGGGTGTCCAGGCGACTGGTGCTGATTGTTAAGAGTTGCTGGTTTGTTCAGCAAAAGCCCAGCTGACACAGACATCATTGCATCACACTGATTCACATTTTGGTTGCCATCTACTTTCCCCTCCCCATTTCTACATTGGTGAAAAGGCAATCTTCCTTTTCTACTTTCACTATCATTGTGACTGTAGGGTTAGTCTGAGACTGTGAACCATCTGTCAGATAGGGGTGTTGACAGGTATTGTCTTCTCTGCCTTGGTCTGCAGGTAACCCAGAATCACCTGGTGAGAGTGTGGCACTGCTGGGCAAGGTACATGTGTAATACTGAATCATTGGTTTTAATATTAAAGGCTCAGTTATGATGGACCAAATTATGTGAGTCAACATATAGGTTTTAGGTTTTTGGCATTTCAACCTATGGAGAACCTCCATCTGAAGCATGCTGCTCTGAGGCCCCTGCAGTATCTTTTAAAAGGCTGTTCTGAAGAACTGGCATGAACCTTTAATAGGTCATAGCTAGAATTCTTTGTATCTGTATGATCTGTCAGTGCTGATACCATACATCCTCTACAATCAAAAGTGTGCCCAAGGCACTAAATGTATCTTTTACATTTTAAAACAACAACAAAAAGTTTTTGTGGTCCTTGTTTAGAGTAATTCTTTAAAACAAAGGATGAAATGGGCTCTGAGAAGTTGAGTAACTCTTCCTGAAGGTCACCATTAAGTGATAGATCATTAGCCATTTGCTCTAAGTCCAAAGTCCTTTCCACAATATCAACAAATTGTAGACACGGAAACAAATAACACTTTTGGAGACAAAATCCCTTAAAGAAATAAGCCTTTTATGTACATTTAGAGATGAAGCTTAAAATGCAAATCTTCTCTCGAGAGTGGGAAAGCATGAGCAAATGAGTACCATAGGCTCTTATTTATTCAAAAAATTAAATTGATTTCAGGATTATAGATTTAAGACATGGTAGTTAATAGAGAAGTTCTAGATTAAAAATGCACATCTGTATATGCATATATGTTTCCTCAGAAAATATATTGTTTTGGATGTTTGTCCATTTCTTAGTTACCCATTTACATATTGTGTGCACAGTTACTTTAGTACAATCCCTACACTTCAAGTCACCATATTATTTTTTAATTACTTTATGACTAATTTTCAATTAATTACAATAATTAACTAACTAGCCAATAAAGCACAAAAAATTACAGATTTTTGAATATGGTTCCAGGAATAGTTCAGTTTTCACACTTAATATCTGAATCTCATATTTATCACATGTAGCATGAAACTACTTCTGTTTAAAAGAATATATTCACTGCAAACAGTATGACAAAAAGCAATAAGTGTACTTCCCTCTGTCATATAAAGATGTGACATTTCCCTAAAAAATTTCTTGCACTTAAAAATATAGTTAATAATATGGTAATAACTGTGAATGGTAGCAGATGGTAGTAGGTTTATCGTGATTATCACTTCATAATTCCATAAATGTTGAATCACTATGTCGTACATCTGAAACTAATATAAGATTGTATGTCAGCTACACTTCAATTTTTTTAAAAAAATGAAATTCCCTGTATATAGAAGTTCTAGACCTTCTCTACTTGTAAATCTAAGTGTATCCTTTCTCAGACAATAGTTTCCCCTTGGGCTTTGGTACATTTCATATAAAGAAAAATACAGACAGTGGAAATAGACATAGTAGAGTTCAAGTGCAGTAGCTCATCATGTGTATGTTGCTGGGCAAGTATAATGGGGACCTCCTCCTCTGGGTTTCAGTGCCTAAGGGTGGCAAGGGTACAAAAAGTGCAAGAAGTCAAGGAAATACAGACTTTTCCCTCAATGAGAAAGATGCCATAAATCAACATGAGCAGAATGATTAAGAAAGTTTTCTGGACTCAACTCTGCAGATGGTGCATTTAGCTCTCACTTGAGTTTTCAACATTGGCTTAAAAAAAGGATTTCACATCAGTTTTTGTTTCTTTTGGAAAGCTCCCATGTATGATTAATTGATTGCATTTCTGAAGAACAGAATTAATGATGTTTGGTTCACTTTTCCAGGAGGTGCTGGAGCCAAAAGACTACTGCTAGTGAAGGCATTTGTAAGGTCTCAGAAGGTTAGGACGGTACGAATGCTGTAAAAGGAAATAAAAGATTATTAATTGTTTTAATGTTCAGATAACCCACAGTCTTCCATGTTGAGAGTCCAAGGAGCATTCGATGTGTCTCAGTGAAAAGCTGTCTGTGGTTCCTAATACTTCATTCCGATCCCTATACATACAAGTAAGGTAGTAGGGTGGGTCCTTTATTGCTGGTTCTTTCTTGGGTTTTCTTCAGTGTTAAGCTCAATAACATCCTGAATATGACTGTCATTTAGGCTTCATTGTATATTAACATCCTAAAAAAAATCACTTTTGAGAGCATGTACATCTGGCATAATAATACAAAACAGAGGGTAATGACATGTAATAAATTCTTGCTATCTGTCACATACTTTGTAGATGCTTTTTGTACATTTTATCATTTAAACCTCACCTAAAACAACCATGCTATGAAGCAGGTCCTAATATTTCCATTTTAGAGATTAAAAATACTGAGAGAGAGATTTATAACTTTTCTAAGTCACATATCTTGTGTGGGGTGTTGCAATATAAACCTAAAGTTGCACAAATGACAAAATGATAGAAACTTGCCTGAAGGCACCATAAATGTAATAAAGACCATCTTGAAGGTTTACTAGAGCTTTGATAAAGAAATGTTGAAGGATTCTTCGAAATAGATAATAAAACTGATTTGTATTCAGATATTTCATTCTTGTGGAGATCAGAAGTATAACATTTACACTGGAAGTACTGTCCTTCCTAAAAACTATCTTCTGATGGATATATACTTTTAGAAAAAGATGGTCTTTGTGCCTTAAAAAATTATATATATATATACTTATAGTTAATAGGGGAAATATATGTAATTTTGGAAACTGAAAGATAGTAGTGAAGAAGAAAGTAAAAATCACTTGTAATATCATGCCTAGAAATAGTCAGTGTTAATATTTTCTTGAATTTTGATCATTTTTTTTCTAGACATATGTCAGTTTTTTACTGCTCATATTGAAAACTTGGGGTCATATTATATTTATAAATTTGTATTCCTAATCCTGTGGCCTCAAATTATAATTTGAGAATTTCTTAATATAATGAAGTAACTTCTTTTTAATGGCTTTATTACTTTCTAGTACATGGTTGGAATTTATTTAACCACCCCTTTAATGTTGGACTTTTAGTGTGTTTCCAAGTTTTGATATCATAAACAACAGATGAGGTGCTTAAATAAATGTGTATTTGCATCTCTGATTATTTCTGTAGAATAGCTTCCTAGAAATGGAATTGCTGGGACAAAGGAGCTAAGCTTTTTTAAAGTTTTTTTTTTTTTTTTTTTTTTTTTTTTAAGATTTTATTTACTTATTCATGAGAGACATAGAGAGAGAGAGAGGCAGAGACACAGGCAGAGGGAGAAGCCGACTCACCTCAAGGAGCCCGACGTGGGACTCGATCCCGGGACTCCAGGATCACGCCCCAGGCCAAAGGCAGGCGCTAAACCACTGAGCCACCCAGGCACCCCTTTTAAAGGTTTCTGACTCAAATTGCTTTCCAGAAAGGGTGTAATCTGGTGCTCTCCTTTCTCAATAAGATTTGTCAGGCTGCCCAGTAAATTATGTAATGTGTGAGAGTGGTTAAGAAATTCTGTTTACAGTTGAAAGTCTCATGAGAGTTGTGAGATAGTAGAAAAAGCATGGGCGATGCAGCTAGAAGGTGGGAGTTAGCTCAAACTGCCTATTACAACTTGTGCCTCATCTGTAAATGTGGATGACAAAATTCTTCCTTTTTTAGGTGGTGATTATACTTAAATGTTACAGGTAGGAAATGGAATTGGCTTATTTTCCTAATCTTCGAAGAAAATGTAAGACTTCAGTGTTTAAAAGAGCATTCCCCTTTACCATACAGGCATACCTCATTCTGTTGCTCCTTGCAGACACTGAGTTTTTTACAGATTGAAAGCCTGTGGCAACCCTGTGTTGAGCAAGTCTGCGGGTACTATTTTTCCAACAGCTTCTGCTCATTTCCTGTCTCTGTGTCACATTTTGGTAATTCTTACATTTCAAACCTTTTCATTGTTGTTATATTTGTTATGGTGGTCTGTGATTAGTGATCTTTGATGTTATTATATAATTGTTTTGGGGCTCCCACGAATGCACTCATACAAGACAATGAACTTAATCCATAAATAATCCATGTATTCTGATTGCCACCGGCCATTCCCCTCTCTCTCTCTGTCTTTCCTGGGCCTCTCTGTTGCTTGAGACACACCAATATTGAAATCAGGTCAATTAATAACACTACAGTGGTCTCTAAAGTGTTCTAGTGAAAGGAAGAATCAATTGATGTTACAAACTTCATTACTGCCTTATTTTAAGAAACTGCCCCAGTCACCCCAAACTTCAGCAACCTCCACCATGATCAGTCATCAGCCAGCAACACTGAGGCAAGACCCTCCACCAGCAAAAAGATTTCTGACGAATGAAAATGCAGATGATGGGTTAGCATTTTTTAGCAACACAATATTTTTTCATTAAGGTATGTATATGTTTTTAGATATAACACAATTGTACACATACTAGATTGCAATATAGTATAAAAATAACTCTCATATCCACTAGGAAAGCAAAACTTCCTTTGACTCCCTTTACTGAAATATTTGCTTTATTTATTTTCATTTATTCAGTCTGGAACTGAACCCACAATATCTCTAAGGTACGCCTATAATTTTTATTTGTGAAAAGTCTTTGTAAACTGGAAAAATAAATAACAATAGCATTTTTAATTAGAAAATTAGTGATATTTGGGGGTGCCTGGGTGGCTCAGGTTTAAGTGTCCGACTGTTGGTTTGGACTTAGGTCATTATCTCATGGGTGGTAAGATGGAGCCCCAAGTGGGGCTCTGCGCTCAGTGGGATTCTGCTTGAAGAGTCTCTCTGCCCCTCCCCTCATTCATGTGCTTGCACTCTCTCTTTCACAAATAAATAAATCTTTTTAAAAAATTAATGTTATCTGTATAGAAAAAAAAAATCTCAAGGTAGCTCCACCTTCTTCCATAATGAGTAAGTTCTTATATAATTTAAATTCACAGCCATTAATAGTCAACCTTTTTAGGTGGCCAGGCAGGGCTGCAGTGACTCCAGGTTCTAATTAAGACTGTGTGGCTCTGATTCTTTTTCCTTGCAATGGTGACTGTTCTCTTGTAAATAAAGCTAAGTGCTCTGATTCATTGCAGATTCATTGCAACCAAGATAATTTGGCTTCAGTAGAACAGGAAATGCAAAGCAAAACTACTGTTTTAGTTTGTCACAACATGATCTCAATGTTCTACATCCAAAGACTGAACTAATAATGGAGAACGAAGGCACTCTTATGTTTTTATTTTGTTTTCATTCTTCCACCATTTTTCTCTATTGGCCAATCCTTACCATAAAAAATTAATAACTACCTCTTTCCAGAGCGAAGCAGGTCAAATCCTTCATTTATTTTTTCAAAAGGTAAAACGTGGGTTATTAATGACTCCAGTGGAAACTTCTTAGCCATAAAATCAGCCACAAGTTTGGGGACAGAATCTTTACTCTTAAAGCCTGAAAAGAAAGTGACATCATTGTAAGATTCAGCCATGGGTAAGGGGGGAATTGGAGAGACTTTCCAAGCAGAATTAAAATGAGTTTATAGAAAGTACTACATCCCACAGACTAATACTACTGAGGTTAATAAGAGATAGTGTTGCAATATCCTTTTGCCTTTGGTTAGACTTTTTAAAAATTCACCCAGATAAACCAGGGTCCTAAATTGTTAGCTCTCTCTTAGAGAAGTTATACTATGGGTGGTTATTCCCAAAGCCAAGGAGAAAACTTAGCAATTGCCTAAATTTAGGTGATGAAAGCACACATAAATTACTGCTATAGATTTCCTGGGTCCTGTGAGGTATTTTAGTGCCTTGTGCAGTCATGGATATAAAAGAAGGGTACTGAAATATTCTAGTTAGTTTTTGGGAAAATCAAAAAGTGTTTTGGGAGCTTCTGTGTGCCAGATCCATATTTAGTTGATTTGGAGCCTATAACTATAAAGGGATTTTTTAATTTCCTTTTAACTTGGCTGCTTTTTAAAACCTGACTTTGTCACTTATAAAAGGAGAGAACTCCTGAGGTTAATAATAAGAATTCAGCCATCAAGCCTAACTACCTACCACCAAAAATTGCTCCTTTCCAGCTACGTCCAGTCAATAGCAACATGGGGTTCATAGAGAGACTTTGTGAATTAGGAGGTACTCCTACAATGACGCTTACACCATATGACTCTTGACAGCAGGACAAGGCAGCCACCTAGAATAAGATTAATAGCATCATTAAAGTGAATTTTCTGATAGTCTCGCCAAAGATGCACAGTATCATGTAATACTGATCTAGCTAGATCATGAATGTGTGCAGGGAAGAGATTACGTTTTTTGCTTCTTCATTCCCCATTGTGTGTAGGTGATTTTAGGAAATGCCTAGAAAATACTTTTTTCAGTAAAAACAGCAGATGGATAAATTTGTATGTGTTTAATTTTTCCTTATAAAATAATAGAGGTGAACATCATTACAAACATAGCTATATAAAGTCTGATTCCTCAAATAAAAGTAGTGTTTTGTCATCACATGGCTCTTAGGCAGTCAATGAGTTTGATTAAGTCATTTTTCCTTTATTTATCTAGTACCTATTTTGTTTTTTTTTTATTTATTTTTTATTTATTTTTTTTTCTAGTACCTATTTTGAACCCAGTACTTTGAGCCATGTGTTTTGTTGGCAGACAAGATAATAAGGTCATTTATATCATCAAAATTGGTCTCTTGTCCACTTGATGTTCTCCAGGAACTTCAAAAGAAAGGCTTCCCCTTCCAGTCAAGTTTTTAAACATGTTCCATAGTAAGAGAATTATTGAGGACCTGCCCCCCACCCCCACAATATATAATGATTAATCCTTTGATTTTGGAGTATGATGTATAGAAGACCAGGTAACCTTAGAACATGTGGCTGTTGGATATTTGGTATCTTCAGGTGAAGTAACAATCCAATTTCACAGAAGAAAATCAAGGGAAAACAGGAGAAAAAGGGCATAAGCAGAAATGCTACCACTTGGATAAAGTTGAATTCTCTTGGAACCATCTGAAGTTGGCATATTGTCCCAAGTCAAGGCCACAAAGAGCTTTACTTGTAGGGTGGTGCTCCCTATTACCAATACTGCTGAGAGTTACTGGAGAACCTCAAAAGGGGGATTTGTTGGTTTCTGGGGACTTTTTCAGTAGGATTCTAGAAAATTCTGATTAGGTGGAATATAGCTGGAGATGTGTTCCTCATGCAGTTGATGATACTAATAATTATTTGAAAGTAATGTTATATATGTTCCAAAGATGATGTAAATACTGAAAGATATCAGAACTAGTACTGCATATCAATAACTCTAGTTAATATTTATTGAGTTTACTATCTGACAGGTGGCTTTGTGCTAAGTATTTTATATACATTAGCTCATAATTTATAAACAGTCCTATGAGATATGTATCTCTTAAACTTTTTTTGGTGGAAAAGTTTGTTGACTTTCTAAAGTATTCAGCCCAACACAAAGATATTGGGTGTTTACTATGTGCCAGGCACTGTGCTGTATGTTGTGGCAAAATGAGGCAGTGTGGTAAATGGTAAAATGCAATATTTTTGTTAATAAAATGATGCTGGTCTAAAATTGGCCATTATTCCTTCTGGCCAAAGTATGATATGTTAAAAAAAAAACCAAAATTTATTAAAATATAAAAAATTGTTAAACCACTTTATTAAGAGTGGGGGAAAATATCAAACTTGCCAATTTGAAAACAAAATTTGTATTGTCTATATTTATTTGAGCTTGAATTCTCTTACTAAAAATTAACAAAGTAAATTTATAATGGCTTAATTAAAAAAAGACCCTCTTCTCTAAAGGGGAAATATTACTTGAGGCAGATTTGCTTAGCTGGTAGAATTAAAGATTTCTTATAGTAATAAACTGAATATCCTAGGTAACCAACAAGAGATGGAAAATCACCATTCATAGTTTTAAAAATATTATTTATATATAATATTTATATTCTGCTGCCTAAAAGTACACTCTGGAATGTAGAAGCATATATCTCAGGGCATTTCATATTACATACCATAGTGTCAAGCCGCCCAATGACTTCAAATGAAAAATCCACACCGCCACCACTTATTTCCTTCAGCACCTCCTGGATTGGTTCCTTGTAGTCCTGAGGGCTAATGCACTCAGTGGCACCCACCTCTTTGGCCTTTGCAAACTTGTCTTTGTTGATGTCCACCCCAATAATCCTGGCTGCTCCGGCTGCTTTACAGCCCATGATAACAGACAGGCCGACTCCTCCAAGGCCAAACACGGCACAGGTGGAGCCTTGGGTGACCTGTGTTTTCAGGAAATGCAAAAATGGGTTAAATAATGATTACTAGAAGTGCCTAAGTTGCATAAAGTGCCATGCCTTGTCCATTATGAGGAGCTATTCATACTCTTACGTCCAACCTTCTGTCAAATCTCTTTTGGCTTTAGTTGTTTAAACTAAGGGGATGAACTAGATGAGTGGTTCTCAAACTCTGCTGAACATTAGACTAACCTGGGGAGCTTTAAAACATCTCAATGCCCAGGTCACAGCTCATAACCAATTCCATCAGAATCTCTGCAGGTGGGATCTAGTTCCCAGGTGACTCCAATGGGAAGCCCAGGCTGGAAGCCAGTGGATTAGGTGATCTTTAAGCTCTAAATTCTTTTTTTTTTTTTAAATTTTTATTTTATTCATGATAGTCACAGAGAGAGAGAGAGAGAGAGAGAGAGAGAGAGAGAGAGGCAGAGACACAGGCAGAGGGAGAAGCAGGCTCCATGCACCGGGAGCCCGACGTGGGACTCGATCCCGGGTCTCCAGGATCGCGCCCTGGGCCAAAGGCAGGCGCCAAACCGCTGCGCCACCCAGGGATCCCAAGCTCTAAATCCTAATGACTACCATCTTGCAAAAAAATCTAGTAGCTCAAATCCATTGACAGTCAGTTTTAGTATTTCACACACAGAAATGCAAGTTTTGGGAAATGAAATAATAAGTGGAAAAGATTATTCTGGGATACTGAAAAATAATCCAGTCAAACCCTCAACAATTAACTCTTTCATTCATTACTTTCAGTATCATGACTGGTATCATGAGACCAGAAATTAGCTGTGAAATAGAAAAGTTATCCTTAGCTTAGAGGAGAGCCTAAGAACAGGGGAAATTTAACAGATAATTAAGATAATACAGCTTGAGACCTCTGTGATCTTAGTGTGTTGTTATCCTTGCTTTTAAGAATATACTAATAAACAATAGTGCAATGAAAAATTGTGTATTTAAAAATGGTTGAGATTAATTATTACGAGTGTCCTCAGCTTCTGCTCTATGTAGACTGAATTAGACCATCTTCTCAAACAGATGGTGTATTTTCACAAGGAACTTAGTGCTAGAGCCACAGAAAATTTGGAAAACATGTGCTCTCAATTGCTTAAACTGGCTAGGGAGGGTTTAGTAAACTAGACTGCTATAGTCTGCAGTCAGTGTGGGAAAAATATTTCTCCTGTCCCAAGTGATCATTCTATGGGATACAATAACACTTTTGACCTTACTTAGAAAAATTTGAGACCTGTGATTGTGATTTAAAGGTGCAGATAATTATGTGTCATCATGGTTTAAGATTCAGCAGGAGTTTGAGAAATAGGCTAGTTGTAGCTCCCATACGAACCAGCTGTGAGATTTTGGGCAGTAGGTTTGTCTCTCGGCCTCCATTTCATAAAATGAATGGATATTGCTAGATTTCCAGTATTTTGGGAAGAGAGGCCTTTAAAGAACTTCTCTTTAAAAATCTACTGCCTCGTGTGTATGTGTGTGTGTGTGTGTGTGTGTGTTCATGGCAGGAGATGAGATGTATCAGTGAAATCCCCTAATGATTGGAATAGATGCAAAATGCATTACTGAAGCATAATTACTTCTCTTAATGGGATCCACAGAGTGGGTGGGTTGGTGACTTTTGGTTTGGAGGTGTATCAGATAAGGCTTTGAATCTACTTTTGATCCTAGTTTTGGGAGTAGAGGATCCATGACTAGGTGCTCCTCAGAGGTGATCCCTTCATTTCAGTTACTTTTGTTGCCTCAAAAGCTAGCTGAACCTATGATACCTGATGCATGTTGGTGCTAACAGTACAATTACTAAATGAACTCCTTGCTCTAAAATTTAGTAGTCACATAAAGAACAAATATAGAAAATAATTGTTGAAAATTATATCTTTACTTTTTCTTAACTAAGCATTAGTCACTTTTTCATCCGTGATAAACAGATAAATTTTCTAGGATATGCTCTTAAATCCCTTCTGAGGCCATTTTCCACTCATAACTGATACTCTAAATTTTGTAGAGTTTTTCAGTTTTATTGTGGTAATGGGGGAAAGCTACCAATAAATCTATGAAGAATGATCTCTGATTATTGTGAGAAATTGCTCTCCTTTCAGTTCCTGACAGTCCGAAGGTAACCAGTTTTGTCATTCATCGCCATTTCTACCTTGGCAATGTTGACTGCAGACCCATAACCAGTAGAAAATCCACAGCCAATGAGACAGACTTTCTCCAGTGGTGAGGCTGCATCGATCTTGGCCACTGAAAACTCATCCACCACCGTATACTGGGAGAAGGTGCTGATGCCGAGGAAATGGTAGATGGGCTTCCCTCTGCAGGTGAACCTGATAGTACCATCTTGCAAGGTCCCCCGAGGTTTGTTCAGACTGGCCAGTATAACACAGAGAGACACACAGGAAGTGAGACAGGAACATAGATGATGTGCAAAACCATTGACTGAATGAGGAGAGTATCAGAAACGTACTCGTTTTTCACGCAGAGGTTGCCTTGCGGGTGTTTACAAACATTGCATTTTCCACACTGGGGAGTAAAGAGTGGAATGACTTTGTCACCTGGAGGGTACAAAACAAATTCTTAAATCAGCACAGAACAGTTTCCATACCCCGATTTGGAGGCTCAGGACATAGACTTAATTTTTCTTATTTTGTCTCTTTGGACCTGATGAAGATAGTACTCAGGAAATTGGAAATAGAAATTATTTGTTTATGAACTTTGGCAGGCTCTGCATTTCTCAATCCTTACATGTCTCCAGGATCTAACCTGGTGCCTGACATCTGGTAGGTAATCAGTAGGCACTTGCTAAAGGAGAGAATTTATGACTGCATGAATGCATACATGTCTGAGTCCAGCAGGGAGGGAAGAAAGGAGGAAGACCTTCTGCAAGGTCTTTCCAGGCTGGAAGATCTTGGGGTTCTGAACTGAGGCAGATTCCCTAAGTATCAATTCTGTACCTGGTTTTACTGTAGTCACCCCTTCTCCAATGCTTTCCACAATGCCGGCAGCCTCATGGCCTAAGATTATGGGGAGAGGCACAGCAAGTGCTCCAGTAACCACGTGATCATCAGAGCGACAGATTCCTGAGGCCACCATCTACACAGTAAAGGGAGGATGATTAGATTTAGAAAAAGATTAGGAACCTTTCCTGTTCCTCATCAAACAATTTGGAATAGTCTGTGAAATAACTGTTTCTGAAATACTTAGGTCTTATTGTGTCCTTTTTTTATAGAAGTAGAAATTCAGATCAGAACTAAGAAAATTATCACACGTTCTATCATCTAATGCTAGTTGATTTTCAGATCTTGATGAATATCCCTTTGAATTTTTTCCCTGTACAAACACATAAGTTCTTTTTTATTTTATTAGGATTATACCATATATACTCTGGTTCCTTTTTATTTTTTTTTCTGGTTCCTTTTTAAAAACGTAATGATTTGTATTTATATCTCTCCTTGACAATGAATATAATCCCACTATTTGGATCACCATATAAAAAGTTCCTCTTAAATGGATTTTTGCTTATTTTCATTTCTACTATTTTCTGAATTTTTTAAACCTAAAACTAAATAGAAATGGAAAAATGTTTCACCTTAATACGAACTTCATGTGCCTTAGGGGGTGCGACCTCCACCTCTTCAATGGAAAAAGGTTTCTTTAACTCCCGTAGTACAGCTGCTTTGCATTTGATTACCTGGAAATTGAAGAGAAAGATGATACCAGTTTTAAAGTCAGGGATGGTGACTTTTATTTTTTTATGTGCAATATCTAGCCCCATGTCTGGAACCTAACAGGGTTCTATAGAAATGAAGAACCTCTGATTTACAAAGAGAATAAAAATACCTTAAAAAAAAAAACAGGCAAAGCAAAAACATAAGAGAAACAGAATTAACTATAATGAGACATTGAGATAAAATGGAATATATTCTTTGAGGCCACCTTTATGATTTTTTACTCCAAGCGTTGTTTCTTCCTGATATATATTTTTAAAGGTTTTATTTATTTATTCATGCGAGACACAAAGACATAGGCAGAGGGAGAAGCTCCCCGCGGAGAACCCAATGTGGTACTCAATCCCAGACCCCTGAGATCATACCCTGAGCCAAAGGTAGATGCTCAACCACTGAGAACCCACGTGACCCTTCCGGATATTTCTTTCTTTCTTTCTTTCTTTCTTTCTTTCTTTCTTTCTTTCTTTCTTTCTTCTTTCTTTCTTTCTTTCTTTCTTTCTTTCTTCTTTTTTTCTTTTTTAAGATTTTACTATTCATGAGAGGGGAGGGGGTCAGAGGGAGAAGCAGGCGCTATCCAGGGAGCCCGACCTGGGACTCGATCTCGGGTCTCCAGGATCACGCCCTGGGCTGAAGGTGGCGCTAAACCGCTGAGCCACCCAGGCTGCCCCATATTTCTTAATGTAGTCCTTAAATGGGTTGTTAACCCACAACTGTTGGCTGGTGCATGAAGTTCGAAATCGATGTGATTTCGCTGATTGCCGACAGATGTAGTGCTCTTTGCCAGATCTGTTGCCCTTTTGCTCAAGTCTCTGCTGAAGCCCAAACTATCTGACTTTATGATTACCTTTGCACATTTGCTTAGGCGCCTTCTCTTTCTCTAGTTGCCTGTTCTCTTCCTTTGACTTTGTCTTGCCTACTGCTTACGTGTGCTACTTGTTTGCATCACTCATTTGATAGCTGCGGTAGTGCTGTTTTGTCATCTAATTTATGTGCAGAAATTCCTTCTAGATTAGATTTGCAACACAAACTGCAGAGGTTACAGCCGTATACACCTGCTCACACACACTCACAGATCCATGTATATATTGAAAAATGCAAGAAAGGTGTGCTTGAATTTCTGGCTAGCTTACCCCTGGAGGTTCTTAAAAATAAAAGTTGAAAACGTTTTTAGTGCTCACGAATGCAATATAAAACTTGTCTTCCTTGTTGCAAAGCTTGTACAGTTAAGGGAGGTTTTTCCTAGAAAGAGTTAACATAATTGCAAATATGATAAAAATTTTCCAATAGAGATTTAGCCTTTTGACAGTTTATTTTCATTATTTATGTCAAATCCTCCTACTTTGCAAGGTTTTTGCTATGGTCAATCCCACAAAAATGTGAAAATTCTTGGAAATAATACACTAATGGTAGATAGGTCCTAATTATAGGGTACTATTCTTCGGCAAGTTACATGCTTGATCTTTAAACCTCAGAATGATGCTACCAGGTCAGTATTATTGAATTACTGGTTTTATTTTACAGAAGACTGAGGCTTAATTGACTGTAATTGAGTAATTTTCTCAAAGTCACAAAGCTGACTGTCCAGAGAATAAGATCAATCCAACTTAAGAAAAAAATTGTCCAACTTAATTTTTTTACTACCTTATGGTAATGAAAGATTAACAAAGGTTAAATAATAATAACATCAACAATAATGGCAGTGACTAAGATTTATTGAATTATTTCTATATATCCAGGCACCATTCTAAGTGCTTAACAGCATTAATTTATTAAATTCTCACCACCACCTTATAAAATAGATATCATTATTGCCACTTAGCTTCTGAGGGAATATAATGCAGGAGGGCAAACATAAATGGTGTTATCACAAAGCAAAAAGTGATTGATGTTGCATCGAAGGGGGTGGATTGTTTTCTTAAATATATTTGGCTTACACTTTCACTTTCAGACCTTCTTCTTTTTTTTTTTTCAGACCTTCTTCTTTTAAGCTGAGTTTTGGCATTTTTAATTTTCCTTTTTCCTAACTGTTCTTCATTTGAAATATAATGCCATTGTAAAGGCTAACTAGTAATGAGTGAAAAATAAAGAGAACTGGAATGAGAAAACTGGTAGTTGGCAACCCGTGCAATTTCCAACCAATCCTGCTGATTGGGAGTGTTGTGTCACAGTGTGTGTAGAAACCTCAGAATCGTTAAGTTATAGCAAGATAGTATATTGTGTGATCCACTCCTAACTAATACATGTACTAGAAACAGTTGCACAGGCTTTTGTAATTGAGCAGTTAAACAACATGAATTGCTTATATTGAAGGACCACATGCATTTCTTTGCCCCTGTGAGCATATTGAACAAATAAACATGAATCCATGGAAGACTTAGAGTCAGTTATCAATGTTTCCATTGCTAATAAGGGATTCTGACTGTATCACTGTTATTATTATTTCTTTAAAAAATGGAAAAGATATTATTCCATAGGATTTCTATGGATTATGCCACAATAAGACCCTTTAAATTCAGAATTTGCATGTTGATGTTGGTTTGCTTAACCTTGGATGATTCTAATGCTTTGAAATCAGTATGCCTTTTGTAAGAGATTTCATAGTAGGCTTCAAAGGATAAAGCCCTCTGAATCAAATTCCTCTTATAGAACTTTTGTCAGATGTAACTTTCGTATGTTCCAAAAAAATAACACATTTAAATTATGATTTCTTAATATAAAGATAACTTCTTGATTAAAAACATAGAATTTTATGTTTGCAAATTATTCATGATTGATCATAACTACTGCACATTAATATAGGAAGTAAAGACTATTAGATACAGGTGCTATTCATTCTTGATAAAGATATTTAGGAATAGCCTTTTTTTTAAGAAATAGAAATTAAATTTAAAGATCACCCAATTCAACAGGAAAAAACTCCTTTGTTTTTTACATGAAGCTTTGCATAAACCAATTATTAACAAGACAATTTGAAAATTATTTTTTCCTTTTAAATGAACATACTGAGAGTGCACAAACAGGTGTTTTGTATTATTTCATGAAGGCACTTCTAGTTGCTTGCATGACCTCTACAAGTTACATCACATATTATAGTAAATATTAAATTGCCATTGCTTAACCTCTAATGTTAAATCTAGATAGGAAACTCAGCTGGATGAAGAGCTAAATTTTTTAAGAAAAAGTATTGTGAAACTCATCAACTATAAATGTATTATAATTTATACTTCAAAATAATCTATCAGAAATATATCCCAGTGCTGTCACAGTCTATAAAATATTCTTAACAAAGGAATAGCCTATTTTTTCATTGTAGTTTAGTATAATTGCATATTGAAGCACATAATCTGTGTTGTATTTCAGTAGATATTGTTTCTAACTTAGATGTGAATTTTAAATTATCCATTAATCCTATACCTCTTTTTGTATTATTTAAGAATGTATTTCCAAAGTAAAAAAAAGAATTTACTTACTTTTCCTGCTGTACTCATGGTTCTGTTTTCTCTTCAGGCCAGGAGACTGGTGACTTCTTATAGACTGTTTTCTGCTTGAGTACATAAAGCTGATATCTTACACAGATACTTTGCTTGAGCAACAACCCGTTCCTCTCACAGCATCTGGGGTCCTTAAGCCACACCCATCAGCTTACTCTTAAACCAAATCAAATCAGAAAGAAAAGGGCAGTGAGCCTGCTTTCAAACCTTGACTTTGTTTGCATATGTCAGTTTCAATTAATATCGTGATTCCGTGAGGTTAAATATTACCCTACAGACAAATTTTAATCTCTTTTTCCTGGATTCTGTATTTCTTCTCTCTCAATCTCACACAGGGTGTTCAGAGCTCTGTTTTCCCATTGTGTGCACTGATCTCCAACTTCTAATCCACAGATTACAGTTAGAACAGAGAACCAAGGAAATAGCACAAATAATGTAGGACAGAGAGTGTTCTCAAGCCAGAGAACATGTTTGATTTAGCACTCTTTTCACAGCAGGGAAGTCACAGCAAAGGTGCTTATGTCTCTGGCATTTCTGCTCTGTATAATAGAAGTCAGCATTGACCTGGTACCTCCCTGTCCTAGGCACTCAGCTGGGCGTGGTGGGGTGGCCATGGCATGGATTCAGGCAGACCCTATCCTAACCACCCGCGTGCACTTGGATTTAGTTTTTAACTGTCTTTGGCCTTAGTTTTCTTATCTGTAAAATGAGGATGATGACTAACCTCTGCAAGCAGTTGTCTGAGGAAAACTGAGATAATCCTGTTCAGGGATTAACAGGGAACCTGAAATAAGACAACCTTCCTTGAATATTAGCTACTTGCTAAGGTTTCAGTGCTGACAACCTTACAACTTTCTTTTTGTTCTCCAAGCACCCTCAGGGTTGACTGTTCTTAATGTTCCGTGTGTCCTCAACATACCTTTTGTGATCTTTCAGCTTTCCGACAATTGTACAACCAGTTTTCTGAATTAAATCCACTTTGTTTGAAATTCAGTTTTATATTTCCCTAACTAGACACCAATACAATTCCTGGCACCAAGAGTGGTCCTGGAAGCATACTCACAAGTAAACAAAAATATATACACAGCCTGAGTTGATGGTTTTTTAGTGGTTACAACTTGCTGACATAGAAAGCAATGGAACGATTATGTTTAAGGGGATTGAGAAGAAAGCAAAAGATCCAGAATCATCAACAGAGAAGTCAATAGATGACTAATGGGGCCCAGTTGCTCTTTTCTATTATAGTTGAATGGAGGCCTGATCGGCAATGTTTTGTGCACTATCCATGTGCCTTCAAGTAGTTTTCCAGAGCACTTGGAAGATGTTCAAAATTCAGTACCTTTTAAATCCTATATGATACAGTCACTGAAAATGTTATGCTCAGCCACATATTCCTATTTGCACGAGGCTATGAAATTTGTTTTAGAATTTTCATCTATTTTGCATTCTATGAGTCCTAGGATATGACCAACTCTTTTGTCTTCATCATTTTTCCGGTTTTTGATTTTTCATTTTCATTTTTACCAAAATTATATGTGTCTATACATACATAAAATATTTTCTACAGAGCCTCAGGAGAAGCAGCAGTATTGACTTTCCTACATCTTCCTACATTTACTCCTCCCTAGAAGCCACTGCTTTTGACTTTTGAAACTTACTATTTCGTTTTTTTCTTTCTACATTTCTAAGTATGTCTATACTCCTAACTTGGTTTTTCTTTTTAAGATTTTATTTATTTTTGAGAGAGAGAGAGAGAGAGACAGAGACAGAGACAGAGACAGAGACAGAGACACAGGCAGAGGGAGGAGCAGGCTCCATGCAGGGAGCCCAATGTGGGACTCGATCCCAGGACTCCAGGATCACGCCCTGGGCTGAAGGCAGGTGCTAAACCGCTGAGCCACCCGGGCTGCCCCTTAACTTGGTTTTTCTTTAGACATTTCTATTAATTTCTCATTTTGTACAATGAAAATTTGGGACAGTCATTGCCACAAAAATTCTCTTCTGCTTCCTAAAAGAGTAACAGAAAAATTTATATTATTAGGACTATATAAATGCTACTTAGAGGTGAGCCACGTAGTTTGCAATTTTTTTCCCTTTACTTAAATAATTCTGTTTTTCCCGAGGATTAAACATTGTTTTTTTAAAAAGACTAGCTTGGTTTTGTCTTTCTACCTACAACTAATTCAATGCCCAAAGTAGTGGTCTAATTCTCTGCTTAAGGCAAATAGATGCATTAAGTCTCCCACCAATTTTGTCTTGTAGAGAAATCTCTCCTGGAGTCTTCAGCTTGCTCCAGAATGGCCTAGGTGTGCTCTGTATCTGGGGCAACCTGCTGTATTCGACTCCTGTGGCTGCTGTAACAAATTATCACAAACTGGGTGGCTTCAAACTATGGAGGTTTATTTTCCCCCATTTCTGGAGGCTAAAAATCCAAAGTCAGTATCACTGGGCTGCAGTCAAGGATCAGAAGAAGTTCTAAGAGAAGAGTCCAGTCCTTGCTTTTTCCAGTTTCTGGTGGCTGCCACATTCCCTGGCTTGTGGCCCCAAACTCCAATGCTTTCCTTTCCTGCTCCTTTCTTCCTCTTCCCCCACACTGTCTTGGGGAACTTGTAGCCTGTCCTGTCTCCCCAGTGGTCTGAAATTTTACACTGATCTGTTTTGAGTGGGTGTATTTTTATCCATTTTACTGGCATGCAGTGGCTTTAAAAAAAAATGAAGATTAACTTTTCAGTTCTAGCAAATTTACTTAAACTGTTTTATTAAAAAAATAAACTGTTTTATTAATGCTCTTCCTTCCTTACCCGTCCCATTCTGCCTTCTCTGTTCTTTCACTTATTCTGGAACTCCTACTACTCAGATACTGAATGTTTTGATATTCCACTCTCATTTTCTCGCTCAGCCTCCTTTTCCTCTTTTCCATCTCTGTGTTTGTGCTCTGTCCAGTTTCCAAATCTCCTCTGAACATGAAGGCACAGGTGGCATAGTCAGGGTTTGCAGAGCATTGCACAACCCCACTAGGGATTGGGAGTACTAAGTGCTCAACCTGCCCATTGAGCACTGGCACTTCATCTTTTGTTCCAGGGGTGGGGCAAGAGATGCGCTGGAATTGAAGCCTGCAGTGGTGAGCAGTAGTGCCCCAGCTCAGAGTGCCCTGCTGGCTCCCAGTGATAAAAAATTTGATTTCTAAGAATGAGAGCTTCTACTTTTGCTAGTTTTCCCCAAATTGTCACCTGTGAAGTTACACATCTTATATTCATGGAAACAGGAATCCTGATTTTTGCCTACCATGCTTATTAGTCTCCTGAGAAATTGTGAATGATATTTATATGATAATTGATAAGTTCATGGTCCAGTTCAGACCTGTGCCACAGTTATAGCAGATAATAACACATCTCAGTTTGCCAGAGACAATGACTGTTGTCCCAGAGTGATTATTAATAGCTTACCCCTTGCTTTAAAAAGTGTGCTAGAAAAAAAAAAAGTGTGCTAGATCCGATGGTTAGTTATGGGATCACCCTATTTATATTTGCTTGTGAGCCATAGTAGAGGCTGATGGATACCTTGGATAAGACCTGGATTTAGTCAGCTTCAAAAGGCTTCCTTGGAATAAAGCAAACTTCAGAGTTTCAAGAGTTAGAACTTGTTAATTGTTTAACCAGTAGTTCTGATGGTTGTGACCTGTGTCAGTAATATTGTAACAATTCGTTGTAAAGAGTGGCACAGAATATCACTTAGCTAATTTACCATTTTGTGAATAATATAAACTGGTCTAGGATTAGGAAGAGCAGAGGCTAATGTGAGTTTTTAAATTTGAGAGGCTTGTGAGAAAATTACTCTCAGAAGCTGAATTAGAATGAATCAAAGTCTATATTCAATAACTACATAATATTTAAATGTTTAATTTTGTTAGAAAATGATTATTACAAAAACTTGAGTAGTCACTGAAAGATTTGAAGGTGGTGATTATGTTGATGTCGCCAAATTTTGTTTGTATAAAACTTGTAATAACCTGGAAATGGGCCATTGCATAAGAACAAATAGAATTACTGGAATGGGAAAGTGAAAAGTGCAATGGTTATGCTATATCTTTAATCAAATTGGTATTTGAAGAGATCAATGCTCATAAAGATGGACTTGGGTGGTTTTTTTTCTTTTCTCTTTCTCTTTTTTTCTGACTTAAAATCTAGAAGATATTCTATGTGCTGCTAGCATCAACAACAAAGACATGACTTTTTTATTAAACTGCATGCTAAATGGAAATTTTAGAAAATCTTTGTTTGTACAACTGTGCAAAAGATTGCCCAGGTAAGCTTTTTAAGGCATTTACCTTGTCAGCAAATATAAGAAATTTTCTTTTCAACAAAGGCAAATGAGAGAAAAATCAAGATCATTCTTGTGGGAGTGTGGTGTTTCTGATTTACTACTCACCTGGAAATCCAGGAATTGTGGTAATCTTGGCAGAATCTAGTTGTCAAGGTAGATCACTGTAGTCTCAAAACAGAATTAACATTCGTGTACTTTAATGTTAAAAGTAAGTATCTTCCTGGAATGCTTTGTCTGGAATCTAAGTTGCAGGGACAGGTAGGGGAAGAATGCTAAAAAACAACTTTAGGAATATGTATTTCTCCTAAGTCTAAATTCACATCTTGGGAAAATAGAATCTAAAGGAAAGGCTGGTGTGCAGTATATTCTTTTCTCTATGAAGGAGTTCAAAGGCACCCCACCCCCACCCTACATGCTCAAATAAAAATAGCAGAAAGGGTTTAGAGTTCATGAGCTATTTATGTGACACATAGTTCCTTCTTCTCTTATAGGGACATTTCAAAGATTATAGCACTCAAGCAGTGGATGATTTCCAAGTCTGAGGGTTCTGGGACCTTTTGAGCAAGTTTTACTTATTTATTTTAAGATTAACTTTATTGATGTCAGCTTTATGTACAGAAAAATGCATCCATTCTAAGTATAGACTCAATGAGTCTTGACCTATTGATAGGCCTCTAAATCTACCACAAACAAGATAGGGGACATTTCTATCGTCCCCAAAAGTTCCTCCAATGCCCCTTTACAGTCAATCTACCTACATATGCTCAGCCCCAGCCAACCACTGTTGTGCTTTCTGTTGATACAGATTGCTTTGCCTATCCTATAATTCCATATAAATAAAATCATGCCAGTATACCCTCTTTTGTGTTTAGTTTGTGGCTATCAGTAGCTTATTCCTTTTATTGTTAGACAGTGATCCATGACATGGGTTTACCATAATTTGTGTATCCATTTACCAGAGGATGGACATTTCAGTTGTTGCAGTTTGGACCAGTATGAAAACAGCCATTGTAAACACTTGTGGACAAGTTCTTTTGTGCACCTATGTTTTCATTTCTTCCGGATAAATATTGAGGAGTACGTGGCAGGTGGATGTTGAGCTTTATGAAAAATGGCCATGCCGTTTGCCAAAGTAGCTGTACCATTTTACACTCCCACAGCCAAAGTATGTAAATTCCAGTTGTTCTACATCCTCACCAACACTTGATACTGACAGTCTTTTAAATTTTAGCCAATGTATTGGGCATAGTGTTAATTTCAGTGTGGTTTAAATTTGTACTTACTTCAGGGCCACCTGGGTGGCTCAGTTGGTTAAGTGTCCAACTCTTGGTTTTGGTTCAGGTCATGATCTCAGGGTCATGGGATCAAGTCTTGAGCCAGGATCTCTGCTCAGTGGGGAGTCTGCTCAAGATTCTCGCTCTCTCACCCTCTCTCTCTCTCTTTCTCTCCCTGCATGTATGCACTCCCTCTAATTCTGTACTATTTTAATTACTATAGCTCTATAGCAGTCCTTGTGTCATTCAACTTCATTCTTTTTAAAAAATATTTGTTCATTTATTCATGAGAGACAGACAGAGAGAGGCAGAGACATAGGGAGAGGGAGAAGCAGGCTCCCCGTGAGGAGTCTGATGTGGGACTTGATCCCAGGATCCCAGGATCATGACCTGAGCCAAAGGCAGACACTCAACCACTGAGCCACCCAGGTGCCCTTCATTCAACTTCATTCTTATTTTTCAAAACTGTTTTGGTGATTGTTCTTTTGAAATTTCATACAAGTTTTGGAACCAGCTTGTCTACAAAACAAAAACAAAAAACCCAAAGAACAAAACTAACCTGCAAGTATTGGAATTGTGTTAAATCTATAAATCAGTTTTGGATGAATTGATATCCTAACAATATTTAGTCATCTAACCTGTAAACATGGTATATCTGTTCACTTAATATCATTCATAATATATGAATATTGACATATATGTCATAATATATAACAATAATGTTTATGACTTCAATGTTTGATACTTGTTCATATTTTGTTCATTTTATTCTTAAGCATTTCATATACTGAATGATACTGTTAATTATAATTATTTTATTTTCTGATTTTTCATTGCTACTATAATTAATTTTTGTCTATTGACCTAGTATTCAATAACTTTGCTAAATTCACTTCTAATCCTAGAAGATTTTTTAAGGACTTCTTAGCATGTTTTATATGTATAGTCATGCCATTAGTTAATAAAGGCAGTTTTAATGCTTCCTCTCTGATATTAAGACTTTTATTTATTTTTCTGGCCTTATCCACTAGTTTGGACCTCTAGTAAATGATGAATTGGTAAAGGTGGAATTTCTTGCTTTGGTCCCAAATATAAGCATGTAGGATTAATAGGAAGTGTGCTGCTAGATTTAGGTTTTTCATAGTTTGCAAAGAGATTTTTGGTCATGCATAGATATTGGATTTTGTCAAAATTTTTCTTGTATCTATTGAGATGATCATATGACTTTTCTCTTTTATTCTGTTATGAATTACTCTTACTCAGTGATGAATTATATTAATATTTGAATGTTAAGCCAACTTTGCATTCCTGAAATAAATCCCACTTGATCATAATGTAGTATCATTTTTATATACTGTTGAGTTTGATCTGCTAATATTTGGCTAAGATTTTTTTGTGTATATATTCATGAAATCTATAGTTTTCTTGTAAAATATTTGTCTGGCTTAGTTATAAAGGTAATACTAACAGTAAACTTAGTTGGGATGTGTCCTTTTTCCTCTATTTTCTAAAGTTATTTGAGTAAAGTTGTTTTTATTTCTGTCTTAAGTGATTTATAGAATTTATCAGTAGAGTCACTTAGAAATTGGGTTACTTTGTGGGAATATTTTCAATTAAGAATGTAATTTCTAAAAATAGTCATAGGGCACTTCATATTTTCCCTTTTTCCTTGGTTAATTGGTAACTTTTGTCTGTGTCTGTCAAGGAATTTGTCCATTTCATCTAAATTATCTAATTTAGTGAAATAAGATTATTTATAGTATTCCATTCATATTCCTTTAATGTCTATAGTATATGTACTACCATCTTCTGTTTTATTCCTAAATTTTGTACTTGTGCCTTTTTGAAATTAATTGATCTATTTAGAGGTTTATCAATCATATTGTTCTTTTCTGAGTTGCTTTTGATTTCATTGGCTTCTTTCCATTTTGTTCATTTATTATTTTATGGTTCCTCAGTTTTATCTCTCTATTTTTTCTACTTACTTTGGGTTTGTTTCTCAGTTTTTTAGTTTAATAAGAACCCCTGAACTGGCAATTTTAAGCCTTCATTATTTTCTATCATCATTATTTAAAACTATACGGTTTCCATGTAAGTTCTCGTTTAGCTGCATCTCACAACTTTTGATATGCTGTATTGTGATTATCATTCAGTTCAAAATATCTTATTATTTCCCTTGGAAATAATTTCCCTACTTTTTTGACTCATAATGTTCCACATTGGGAGTTTTATAGATATATTGTTACTGGTTTCTTTTTTTTTATCTTTTTGTTTTATTTATTTATGATAGGCACACAGTGAGAGAGAGAGAGGCAGAGACACAGGCAGAGGGAGAAGCAGGCTCCATACACCGGAAGCCTGACATGGGATTCGATCCCGGGTCTCCAGGATCGTGCCCTGGGCCAAAGGCAGGCGCTAAACCGTTGCGCCACCCAGGGATCCCTTGTTACTGGTTTCTAACTTAATTTCAGGTAGTCAGAGAACATAGCCTGTATGATTTTGGTCATTTCAAAGTTTTTGAGAATTAGTATATGGTCCAGGATAATGTCCATCCTGATGAATGTTCCAAGTCATTTAAAAAAAATGCATACTATTTTATTGTTGAATGTCAACTAATGTCAATTAGCTCAAATTGGTTGGTAGTATTGTGTTGTTCAGAATGGATTTTCTTTCTACTTTTTTCTATCAAGTATGTATATGCTAGTGCTGACTTCTTTAGCTTTAATGATTAGATTTGCCTGTTTCTTCTTTCAGTTGTAGCAGCTATTGTTTCATGTACTTTGAAGTGTGATTGAGTCCATACATGTTTCAGATTGCTATGCATTTTTGATGAATTACCTCCATCATTGTGCAGTGTTCTTCATTATTACTTATATGGGTATTTTTCTGAAATGCACTTTGCCTGAAATAAGTAGAACTATACCAACTTTCTGCTGGTTAATGTTTAGATGATGTGCTTTTTCCCTCTATCTTTCTATTTTCAACCTACATATGTCTTTATAATGTAAGGGGACTCACGGGAGCAGGATATAGTTGGGTGTTGCATTTAAATTTAATTTGATAATTTTCTTCTTTAAATCTGGGTGTTAAGATTATTTTAAAATAAATGATCAGCTTTTAATTTTTATCAAACCTTCAAGGAAGGGATAATTCTATGTTGTTTGAGCTGCACCACCACACCAGATCATTAGAGAAGGAGAGATCCCAGGTTATTCTATGACCAGGACTTCATGACTTCCTGGCTTGGGGAAGATGGGCTCCCCAGCACTTGTGATGCTTTCCATTCCATTCTGCCAGTCTTCATGAGGATGCCCTGTCTGCTTGGGCACCCTGGCTGCTTGCCTACTGCATTTGTAGCTAAGGTCCTCCACCTGGTGGAATCCATAGTCTGGTTTATCTCGGTTGACTAGAGTTTTCTCAGCTTACCTTAGGTTACAGTGGCATAACAAACTCTTTTTTTTTTTTTTTTACAGTCTAAGAAAAGCCTTCTTTTTTATTTCCCCAGCTTTTTTCTTTTTCCCTTTTTTTATATAAATTTATTTTTTATTGGTGTTCAATTTGCCAACATATAGAATAACACCCAATGCTCATCCCAAGTGCCCACCTCAGTGCCCGTCACCCAGTCACCCCCACCCCCCTCCCACCTCCCCTTCCACCACCCCTAGTTCGTTTCCTAGCGTTAGGAGTCTTTCATGTTCTGTCTCCCTGTCTGATATTTCCCACTCATTTTTTCTCCTTTCCCCTTTATTCCCTTTCACTATTTTTTATATTCCCCAAATGAATGAGACCATATAATGTTTGTCCTTCTCTGATTGACTCATTTCACTCAGCATAATACCCTCCAGTTCCATTCACATCGAAGCAAATGGTGGGTATTTGTCGTTTCTAATGGCTGAGTAATATTCCATTGTATACATAGACCACATCTTCTTTATCCATTCATCTTTCGATGGACACCGAGGCTCCTTCCATAGTTTGGCTATTGTGGACATTGCTGCTATAAACATTGGGGTGCAGGTGCCCTGGCGTTTCATTGCATCTGTATCTTTGGGGTAAATCCCCAGGACTGCAATTGCTGGGTCGTAAGGCAGATCTATTTTTAACTCTTTGAGGAACCTCCACACAGTTTTCCAGAGTGGCTGCACCAGTTCACATTCCCACCAACAGTGCAGGAGGGTTCCCCTTTCTCCACATCCTTTCCAACATTTGTGGTTTCCTGCCTTGTTAATTTTCCCCATTCTCACTGGTGTGAGGTGGTATCTCACTGTGGTTTTGATTTGTATTTCCCTGATGGCAAGTGATGCGGAGCGTTTCCTCATGTGCTTGTTGGCCATGTCTATGTCCTCCTCTGTGAGATTTCTCTTCATGTCTTTGGCCCAATTCATGATTGGATTGTTTGTTTCTTTGCTGTTGAGTTTAATAAGACTATCCACTGGAAAAAAGACAGTCTCTTCAATAAATGGTGCTGGGAAAATTGGACATCCACATGCAGAATGAAACTAGACCACTCTCTTGCACCATACACAAAGATAAACTCAAAATGGATAAAAGATCTTAATGCGAGACAAGATTCCATCAAAATCCTAGAGGAGAACACAGGCAACACCCTTTTTGAACTTGGCCACAGCAACTTCTTGCAAGATTCATCCATGAAGGCAAGAGAAACAAAAGCAAAAATGAACTATTGGGACTTCATCAGGATAAGAAGCTTTTGCACAGCAAAAGAAACAGTCAACAAAACTAAAAGACAACCTACAGAATGGGAGAAGATATTTGTAAATGACGCATCAGATAAAGGGCTAGTATCCAAGATCCATAACAAACTCTTTGTCCTCCATGTGCCCTCCTATTATGGTGGTCCGTCCCAACCCAAGGCCAGGGATCCCTTTACACCTCACCAGTCCAGGCCCTAATGTGCAGGCCTTCACCTGCCTCTTTAGTCACCTGATTGCTCAATCCTTCCTCCTCCCTCTTGCTCTACCCTATGCAAGGAATAAAGGAACATTTTGTTTTTGTTTCTGCCCTGTAGCAACAGAAAGCTGCCTTGAAAAACAAACTTGAAGGCTAATCTCTGCCTAACCACTCTTTGTTGCCAAATTAAACTCTGATGTGGCTTTGTCAACACTCAAGCAGTGTAATCAGTGGTTGGGCTCTTTGCAGAGACCCAAACCAACAACTCCCTTTCTCTCATGGCATTTCTTTCTTTTCTAACACCCAGTCCTGGCTGAAGCTGAGAGAAGTTGGGACACCCAGATCTGACTATTTTCCATGTCTTCTCTCTTTCCCTTTTCCTTCCTACAGCCTTCTAATAACAGGGATTGACTTCCCTCTCTTCTTCTGCATCATATTCTCCTCTTAGCACCATGCAACAAGGCCTATCATGAGCAGAAGGAATATAGGTGTTGCCATTGTGTAAAAAATCTGAGTACTCTCCAGGTTTGAACAAATGAAAGAAAGAAATTTAGAAAATTCTCTTTCCTAAAAACTGAGTGGGAGAGCAGGTGGGCGGTGACTGGGTGGTGGGCACTGAGGGGGACACTTAATGGGCTGAGCACTGGGTGTTATACTATATGTTGGCAAATCGAACTTCAATAAAAAATATATATGTTAAAAAAACTGGGAATAAATCAGAGAGGGAGATAAACTATGAGAGATCTTAACTTTGAGAAACAAACTGAGGGTTGCTGGAGGGGAAGGGGGTGGTGGGGTAACTGAGTGATGGACATTAAGGAGGGCACACGATGTGATGAGCACTGGGTGTTATACACAACCAATAAATTATTGAACACTACATCTGAAACTTATGATGTACTATATGTTGGCTAATTGAGTTTAAATTTAAAAAAGAAAATTATCTTCCCTACAAAGCTTGGCTTTTAAGTTTATTGTCTTACTTCAAACTCCTATTTTAATTGTCAGGAATTGAATAGCAATAATCCTTATCCATATTTCTTTAGCCACAAGTCAAATGGATATTTCAGGTCAATTGAGAAGAAGCTCTTAAAAGGAGATGGTATTATAGAGAAGCAAACAGCTGTAATTCCTTTCTACAGCCGTTTGGAACTGGGTGGAAAATTCCAGGATCTTCTCAATTTCCCTTTTCTGCCCAAGGCTACAGAGCATGGTTGTTGAATAGAAACATCTATTTATCTTTTTTCTAGGAAGATATTTTCTTTCACTCTAGAAGGCATCTTGCCATCTGAACATTATCATGTGCTCACTCAATACTTTGCAATGCTTTGCAGTGATTTGCAATTACTTTGGGGTTACCATATAAAAAATAAATCAAAATCTCCTGGTCTTTAAGAGACAAGCCCTCCCAGACATGCATATACACTAATAAAAACACAACCATCTGTAGCTTCCCTTTCTGTTTACCATGTTTGCAAGCCTGAAGAAATAAAAGAAGAAAGTATTTCTTATTCCATGTGGCCAAGTTCCAGGTAGAATGACACTACACATTTTAATTTTGTTTCAAAGCCTCTGCCCTGAAAAGAAAAAAGAAAAAAAGAAATGTATAATCTTGCTCTCATGGGATTAAAATCTGTTTGGAACACCACACAGTCACTGGGGAAGAGGAGCAGTACCTCTTTCAACAAAGTGCCTGAGCCCTTGAGTCAGAGTTGGCTGGTTTCTTCCTATTTATGTTATCACATGATTGGAATAATTAGTTAACTAACATTTTTATAGTTTTTTTAAAATTAATTTATTTATTTATGATAGTCACACAGAATGAGAGAGAGAGAGGCAGAGACATAGGCAGAGGGAGAAGCAGGCTCCATGCACCGGGAGCCCGACGTGGGATTTGATCCCGGGTCTCCAGGATCGCGCCCTGGGCCAAAGACAGGCACTAAACCGCTGTGCCACCGACGGATCCCCAGTTAACTAACATTTTTAACTAAATTTAAAAGCAGGGTGTGCGGGTGCCCGGGTGGCTCAGTTGGGTAAGCCTCTGCCTTTGGCTTAGGTCACGATCCCCAGGGTCCTGGAATTAAGCTCCACATTGGGCTTCCTGCTCTGAGGGGGAGCCTGCTTCTCCCTCTCCCTCTGCCTGCCACTCCCCCTGCTTATGCTCTCACTCTGTCAAATAAAAAAAGTCTTTAAAAAGTAAAAAAATAAAAATAAATAAAAATAAAAGCAAGCCGTGTCCTGCTACCTCCAATAAAATAACATCTTCAAGAGTCTGAAAGACAGAAGTCCAGTAAAAGTTAATCTTAAGTTTGTAAAACTCTTCTAAAAACTGTAGAGGGGGAGGAGGGGCGAGATGGCGGAAGAGCAGGGTCCCCAAGTCACCTGTCCCCACCAAATTACCTAGATTACCTTCAAATCATCCTGAAAATCTACGAATTCGGCCTGAGATGTAAAGAGAGACCAGCTGGAATGCTACAGTGAGAAGAGTTCGCGCTTCTATCAAGGTAGGAAGACGGGGAAAAAGAAATAAAGGAACAAAAGGCCTCCGAGGGGGAGGGGCCCCGCGAGGAGCCGGGCTGAGGCCGGGGCGAGTGTCCCCAGGACAGGAGAGCCCCGTCCCGGAGGAGCAGGAGCTGCACCAACCTTCCCGGGCGGGCGGAAAGGGGCTCGCAGGGAGTTGGAGCAGGACCCAGGAGGGCGGGGATGCCCTCGGGCTCCCGGGGACACTAACAGACACCTGCGAGCGCAGGGGAGTGCTCCGAGCTCCCTAAGGGCTGCAGCGCGCACGCGGGACCGGAGCAGCTCGGAGGGGCTCGGGAGCGGCTCCAGGGAGGGAGCTGCAGGGCGGGAGCGCGAATCCAACAGCGCAGGCCCTGGAGCACAGGGCGCCGGGACACAGCCCAGGATCCGGCCTCCCCCCGGGACAGGCAGAGGCCGGGAGGGCCCAGGACAGCGAGGACGCTCCTGCCCCGAGCTGAGCAGATCAGCGGCACCGCCCCGGAGCCTCCAGGCCCTGCAGACGGAGAGCTCCGGAGTTACTGCGGGAGCTGACTCCAGGGCTGCAGAGCTGGCCCCGCCACTGCGGTTGTTCCTCCTGGGGCCTCACGGGGTAAACACCCCCGACTGAGCCCTGCAGCCAGCAGGGGCAGAGCAGCTCCCCCAAGTGCTAACACCTGAAAATCAGCACAGCAGGCCCCTCCAACAGAAGACCAGCTGGACGGACAAGTTCCAGGGGAAGTCAAGGGACTTAAAGTCTACAGAATCAGAAGATACTCCCCCGTGGTTTTTTTTTTTTTTTTTTTATTTCTGATTGCTTCCCCCACCCCTTTTTTTTCCACCTTTCTTTTTCTTCTCTTTTTTCCTTTTTCTTTTTCTCTTTTCTTTCCTTCTCCCTCTTTCTCCTTTTCCCAATACAACTTGTTTTTGGCCACTCTGCACTGAGCAAAATGGCTAGAAGGAAAACCTCACCTCAAAAGAAAGAATCAGAAACAGTCCTCTCTCCCACAGAGTTACAAAATCTGCATTACAATTCAATGTCAGAAAGCCAATTCAGAAGCACTATTATACAGCTACTGGTGGCTCTAGAAAAAAGTATAAAGGACTCAAGAGACTTCATGACTGCAGAATTTAGATCCAATCAGGCAGAAATTAAAAATCAATTGAATGAGATGCAATCCAAACTAGAAGTCCTAACGACGAGGGTTAACGAGGTGGAAGAACAAGTGAGTGACATAGAAGACAAGTTGATGGCAAAGAGGGAAACAGGAAAAAAGAGACAGACAATTAAAAGACCACGAAGACAGATTAAGGGAAATAAATGACAGCCTGAGGAAGAAAAACCTATGTTTAATTGGGGTTCCCGAGGGCGCCGAAAGGGCCAGAGGGCCAGAATATGTATTTGAACAAATCCTAGCTGAAAACTTTCCCAATCTGGGAAGGGAAACAGGCATTCAGATCCAGGAAATAGAGAGATCCCCCCCTAAAATCAATAAAAACCGTTCAACACCTCGACATTTAATAGTGAAACTTGCAAATTCCAAAGATAAAGAGAAGATCCTTAAAGCAGCAAGAGACAAGAAGTCCCTGACTTTTATGGGGAGGAATATTAGGGTAACAGCAGACCTCTCCACAGAGACGTGGCAGGCCAGAAAGGGCTGGCAGGATATATTCAGGGTCCTAAATGAGAAGAACATGCAACCAAGAATACTTTAGCCAGCAAGGCTCTCATTCAAAATGGAAGGAGAGATAAAGAGCTTCCAAGAGAGGCAGGAACTGAAAGAATATGTGACCTCCAAACCAGCTCTGCAAGAAATTTTAAGGGGGACTCTTAAAATTCCCCTTTAAGAAGAAGTTCAGTGGAACAATCCACAAAAACAAGGACTGAATAGATATCATGATGACACTAAACTCATATCTTTCAATAGTAACTCTGAACGTGAACGGGCTTAATGACCCCATCAAAAGGCGCAGGGTTTCAGACTGGATAAAAGAGCAGGACCCATCTATTTGCTGTCTACAAGAGATTCATTTTAGACAGAAGGACACCTACAACCTGAAAATAAAAGGTTGGAGAACCATTTACCATTCAAATGGTTCTCAAAAGAAAGCAGAGGTAGCCATCCTTATATCAGATAAACTAAAATTTACCCCGAAGACTGTAGTGAGAGATGAAGAGGGAGACTATCTCATACTTAAAGGATCTATCCAACAAGAGGACTTAACAATCCTCAATATATATGCCCCAAATGTGGGAGCTGCCAAATATTTAAACGAATTAATAACCAAAGTGAAGAAATACTTAGATAATAATACACTTATACTTGGTGACTTCAATCTAGCTCTTTCTACCCTCGATAGGTCTTCTAAGCACAACATCTCCAAAGAAATGAGAGCTTTAAATGATACACTGGACCAGATGGATTTCACAGATATCTACAGAACTTTACATCCAAACTCAACTGAATACACATTCTTCTCAAGTGCACATGGAACTTTCTCCAGAATAGACCACATACTGGGTCACAAATCGGGTCTGAACTGATACCAAAAGATTGGGATCATCCCCTGGATATTCTCAGACCATAATGCCTTGAAATTAGAACTAAATCACAACAAGAAGTTTGGAAGGACCTCAAACACATGGAGGTTAAGGACCATCCTGCTACAAGATAAAAGGGTCAACCAGGAAATTAAGGAAGAATTAAAAAGATTCATGGAAACTAATGAGAATAAAGATACAACCGTTCAAAATCTTTGGGATGCAGCAAAAGCAGTCCTGAGGAGGAAATACATCGCAATACAAGCATCCATTCAAAAACTGGAAAGAACTCAAATACAAAAGCTAACCTTACACATAAAGGAGCTAGAGAAAAAACAGCAAATAGATCCTACACCCAGCAGAAGAAGAGAGTTAATTAAGATTCGAGCAGAACTCAACAAAATTGAGACCAGAAGAACTGTGGAACAGATCAACAAAACCAGGAGTTGGTTCTTTGAAAGAATTAATAAGATAGATAAACCATTAGCCAACCTTATTAGAAAGAAGAGAGAGAAGACTCAAATTAATAAAATCATGAATGAGGGGATCCCTGGGTGGCTCAGCGGTTTAGCTCCTGCCTTTGGCCGGGGGCCGGATTCTGGAGTCCCGGGATCGAGTCCCGTGTCGGGCTCCCTGTGTGGAGCCTGCTTCTCCCTCTGCCTGTGTCTCTGCCTCTCTCTCTCTCTCTCTCTCTCTCTCATGAATAAATGAATAAAATAAAATAAAAATAAAATCATGAATGAGAAAGGAGAGATCACTACCAACACCAAGGAAATACAAACGATTTTAAAAACATATTATGAACAGTTCTATGCCAATAAATTAGGCAACCTAGAAGAAATGGATGCATTCCAGGAAAGCCACAAACTACCAAAACTGCGGAGCAGGAAGAAATAGAAAACCTGAACAGGCCAATAACCAGGGAGGAAATTGAAGAAGTCATCAAAAACCTCCCAAGACACAAGAGTCCAGGGCCAGATGGCTTCCCAGGGGAATTCTATCAAATGTTTAAAGAAGAAATCATACCTATTCTACTAAAGCTGTTTGGAAAGATAGAAAGAGATGGAGTACTTCCAAATTCGTTCTATGAGGCCAGCATCACCTTAATTCCAAAACCAGACAAAGACCCCACCAGAAAGGAGAATTACAGACCAATATCCCTGATGAACATGGATGCAAAAATTCTCAACAAGATACAAGCCAATAGGATCCAATAACACATTAAGAAGATTATTCACCATGACCAAGTAGGATTTATCCCCGGGACACAAGGCTGGTTTAACACTCATAAAACAATAAAGTGATTCATCATATCAGCAAGAGAAAAACCAAGAAACATATGATCCTCTCATTAGATGCAGAGAAAGCATTTGACAAAATACAGCATCCATTCCTGATCAAAACTCTTCAGAGTGTAGGGATAGAGGGAACTTTCCTCGACATCTTAAAAGCCATCTACGAAAAGCCCACAGCAAATATCATTCTCAATGGGGAAGCACTGGGAGCCTTTCCCCTAAGATCAGGAACACGACAGGGATG